TCTCGTGAAAATACCTTGTTGAGTGAAACGTATCTTATGTATGATAAATTCGCAAAGTACTTAGCTGCCGCTTATCTTGCACAAGCGAATTTTCTTGGAAAGACTTGCTGAAAATGCAAATCAGCAGCTTAAAATAGCATGGGTAAAAATTAGATAAATAACACTGAAATACGAAAACATCTCCCAGCAACGTGCTTGGCAACTGAATGCATCAAAATGGATTCCAGTATAATATCAAATGATAGCGCTAGGTGGCACATCGTTCCATATGCTTGTGTGAATAACACAGGATTAGAAAACACTCTGACCGTCATTACCCGCTGACGGCGATTCTCCCATTCTCCCTTACTCTTAGACGCAGCTGTTGCTACCATTATGTTTTACTCAATTACAAAAAATCCATAAACAGACTGTACTGTTATTTCCAATGATACACCATTCTCATTTCTCTTTTAATATTATTCTCAACGATCAAAAGTTCTAATTGTACTATACTCATTTTTATAATGCATTACAATTCTTACATCCTCTTTCCTTTATTTCAATACCAATTTAATTACCCCCTCTCGTAAAATAATTTCACCCTTCGATGGAAAGAATGATTCACAGCCAGCGGGCTTGAAAGTTTCTCGGCGCAAGACTGAGCTTGTCAACACGAAGCAGTTTACACAAAATCCATGAAGATGAAAACAGCACGTTCTTTAACACAAAATTACGCTATATGTACTCAAATGTTCGAAAAATTGGGTAGAACTTTATTTCATACCTATCTTTATGAAACAAATTTCATAAAGGGAATAATCTCTATCTTCGTAATTGTAGTTGTAGGAAAACGTCAACATTTTTTAAAAAATTCCAATTTTTAAAAAGGAGTTTGCAACGTATATGTCTTTCACACTAGCCAACAAAATATCATTAAAAAGGTTGGGGCCATTTTTTTGAAAACTTTGTAAACGGCTCAGGCTTCTGTTTTACTCTTCTGTAATATTCTCGAAGGTCTTTTCCAATTCTACTATAAGAGGACTGAAAAATTGAGAAAATGTAAAAAAAAATAATTTTGGCGCCGATAGGTAAATGCCAGGAAGGAGGTGGGGCAGTACCGGAAAGCTTACCTAGTGTAAAGAGGTTAGAAAACCAGCTATTGCGACAAAGTCTTCGAGCGAAATTACGCGAAAAATACTTAAACTTTCTAAAAAATGCACATGACCTTATTTCAAAATCTATCTTTAAAGAACAGATTTCTTTGAGGGAAAATCTCTATGTTCATGTAGTTGTAGAAAGAAGCCAAAAAAGTAGTGTTTTAGCAAATTTCGAAAAAAAATTGTTTTCAACGAAAATGGGACCTGTGCCATTCTCTTAAAAGCCCCTCACACAATCAAAGAACAAAATTTAATAAAAAACGATGCAGCTATTTATCTAAAATATTTTGAAAATATTCTAGGGGCTTCATGTAAAGTACGCCAAAATTAAAATATGGTTTTCAAATTCAAGGGACCGAGACGTCAGCCAGATCTATTGGGGAATATCCGTTTTGGAGAAAATGGGCGGAACGATTTAGCAGCTAGCGTTGTTCACGGACGGACAGACAGACATTTTGCCTTTATTTTTACTATCAAGGACCCCCAAAACATGGATTCTGGCTGCACCACGTGTTAGAGATTTTTTTTCTAAATTTGGCAACTACATTTATTTATTTTTTTAGTTACTAGGGCAGTGTAATAAGAGATTTTCTGCCAAAAATTTGCGTTTTTTTTGCACAGCATTACATAATTCTCTCTCTACGGCGTAAGCGATAGCGAAAAAAGTAAAGGATACATATATTGTTTCTATACGTCATATTTGTCTGAGATTGACATGAGTATGTACGAAAAAAATAACGTAAGGCTATGGGGCCCCTTCGGGCCACTACCCCTCACCTACCCTCCTATGTACGCGTCTATAAAATCACGTGCATGCGGACGCATAGCACATGTCTATTTCCAGTGAATATTTTTCCAAATATATATATATATATATATATATATATATATATATATATATATATATATATATATATGGTGTTAGCTTATCGGTCTGTTGTACCCAAGTTGGCAGGTTCATCGGGATCGAAGCCGTGGATTTTTAAGGGCAAAATAATCCTTCTTACGCCTTCCTTCGGAGGGGAAGTAAAGCCGGCTGTCCAGTGTTAGTAGATTTACTTGCATGTATAAGATCCTCAAGCCTAAATGACGCCTCTGAGCTAAATTCAAATCGCCTGTTTCTCGCCCAAGAAATACCTCCTTTCTCTGCTAGTTGGTGAGAGAAGCTTAGCGAAATTTGCGTGGTCGGACAGAAGAGCAGGCCTCATGGCCTGAGTCTCGCCACGTAAAAAAAGGCATTCAATTCAATTCAACAATACACTCCTCTTCCTTAGCGCAATAATGTGGTTCCGCGACGGATGCAAATCGGTTCATGCCGTCCGGCCCACGGAGGTGCGGACGTCTTTTTTCACAACTTCCGACAGGAATGAGCTCTTCCCATCATGGTGGGAAGAGATGGGTGGGCTCTTGCACATCATATCAAACTTCATTCAATGGGTATCTGGCACTCGTTTGCGCATGCTTTCCATGATGGAAAGAGATGGAGGATGGAGTTACTCCGGTGAACCGATTTTTCCTCATTCTGGACGGCACCAGTTTGCGTCATGAACCACATGCTCACAACACTGGCACTTCGTTTGAAATGCCTGACCGGACGATAGCCGCTGTGTTGCATGGAGAGCGACAAGTGTTGAGAAACATCTTGAAAGAGTCATAAATTGGCCAACCATCAATAATAATATTATGGTATATTTGAAATAAAAGATGCGAATTTTAAAAAAAGCTTCATATTTGTTTCATTGACGTGTAACAAGGAGATACTTTTGATATCTGGCTGCATTTAAAATTCCCGCTAATATTGTGACGCCAACTGGTGCGTGAATCTCATTGGATGAAGTTGGATACGACGCGCAATAGCTCTCCGATCTCTTTCGAATATGATTCGTCCGCCATAGACTTCCGTCCTGTGCGACACTCTCCTGCTGCAGTCTGATTGGTTCACTGTGTAGGTCGAGAGCGCGTCCATTAATCGATCCCCCCTCTAGAGTTGGAGGGTTGTTCGAAAAGTAGAGTTGCCAATTTCACCTTTCATACGCTTTAACAAGAGACCCGCCTCAGTGCGTTATTAAAAATTAATCATTGTCCTGAAATCAAAGTTTGCAGGATAGTCTGAAATACGATTTTCGTTGAAACATTCTGAACCAATAAGAATTTCGCAGTAAGTTGATGAATAAAGTCTTTTCATAATACTTTTATTTCAAAACGGAAGCTTTTTATTTTATTTTTACTACGTACGTTAGGTAGTAAAGAGAAATTATTGAAATGCTTCAGCAGAAATTGGCGATTTCTCGAAACATTTGTATTGTGGGTCCATAATATCGGAAAAGTGAATAAATCGTTCTCCTATAGGTAGTAAATTACTTTCTCTCGCATAGTGCGTGGTTATAATCCACGTTTTGAGAGCCTTTGACACCGAAAAAGTGCTTCAAAGCAAAAGTCTATCTATCTGGGGATAACACTAGTGCCAATACCGTTCCGACAGTGTTCCCCAAATTTGATTTTCCGTTCGATCCGGCCAATCTCGATTGATTGATTAGTAACATTAGTTCATACGTTCCATTTGGTTACCAGGGTTCGGTAATAAAACTTCACTATTTGTAAATGTACAATATTCATGAATTTTCCCCTTTATATATTCTAAGAAATAGATTTTAAGATTGATCATGTATAATTTTTTCGAAAATCGAGTAAATTACTCCACACGGGAACACGATTTAACTACTATTTTGATTTCAGTGCACTATTATCGGGAGAGATGGCTCGGGGCTTCAACTGTCACTGCAGTCTGTCACCTCTGTCCGGAGGTTCTAAGTTCGAGTCCCGACGGCGGCAGGATTTTCGACACTAGTTTGTCTAGCAGCCGGCTGCTCTGATCGGTAACTTTCCGTGGTTCCTCCGATCAATACCAGACGAATACCGGAGGAGTACCTAACCAAACGGGCTACGGACTGCGCGTGATCTTTCTTACCTCTTCCTTGTCCTATCCTCTCCCGTTACACACAGACACTTACACTTTCGGGAGCTTAGAACTTGTCCCAACAAGGGTGGTGCTCCGCTGGGGGAGATACCTGGTTTAAGAAAACTCCGCTAGCGGTAGGTCGGCGCCAGATCTCGCCATACTGCGAGGGAAAGATCACCGTCACCTCCCTAGCAAAACAACATGCAACATGCACTACACTTGCTAAGGACATGGTATGACATACACAGGTATGTGAATTTACTGCTGACGATAAATATTAAAATTATTATTTCTCTTTTCTTCATAAAACACCTTTTGACAATCTTAGACTTAATTATTTATCTCCTTTTACACCCTCCAGATAATGCATTTTAATTCAGTTTTGATGAATTTCAATAAATGAACATGAGATTGAAAGCACCTGTATTTGATAGCATCCATCAGTTGGTAGCAAGTTACGAAAGAATAAGTACATGAATGCTCAAATTCACAAGGTTTACATCACAACTTGTTACATTATTACAATTATAGAAAATAATTTACTTTCGAATATTTATCAGATTAATGTTTTAAAAGTCAGTGTGTTATTTGAAAACGAATGAAATTATGGTGCAATCTATTGGTAATTTCCTGGAAACTCTATTAATGATGATTATACAAAAGTATTATTTTTTGAGATCGACAATAAAAATCTTAAGTATTATTTTTCGATTTTAAATTTGCGAAAACATTCTTGTCCGTATTGAAAATAATTGTTCAGTTTTGATAGTGCACACTGGAGAAATTGAATTTGATGATCTTGGTTGGTAGCGCCGTTCTCTTGGTCGACATATCCTGGAAGTGTGTTGGCCGCAACCAATTGGTCGGGGGGTCTGGTCAGCGGAAGCCGTGTTTCTTGTACTCTGCATTATAATCGATCAGATGATGTGAAAGTCGGCCAAAATCATGATAGGGAAATCGATCCGGCAAAATAACAGCGAATGTGGTTTGTGTTAAGTGTTTGAAAGCTGAAGAAAACATTTTCGACACAAGCATCGAAGTTTCAAGATTCCGAAGTAAGTTTGCATGATGTCTGTATATTGTGCTGGTAAATTTGTGACGGTGTTGAGAAAAAAAGCAAGTTTATGAATGCTAAAAACTATATGGCGTACATTCATAACTTGTATAATCTTATTAATTATATAAACACTATTTTACGTTCCCATTTTTTTATCAAAATGTTCCATTATGTCGTTATTTTATGGTTCATTGTTGTTGTCTGATTTGATGACTTACGTTTGTGCCAAACTGTAACATGCAAAAGTGATTTTGAGCTCTGCCTCTGCGCGAAGCATAGGGAAGAGCGTAGGACAAAGAAAGACGTATAGTTGGAGCTCTCTGAAGGCCAAAGGCGCAAATATCGATCCGAGAGGGGTTGTGCCTTTGTTGCTTTCAGGAATTCAGTCATATTAAACGTGGTGTTAATTTGTAAGTGAAAGGAAATGAATTATTATTATTACTTATCTAAACTACTCAAACGAAGAGGAAGAATATTCAGTCTGAAATACGAAACCTCTTCTATTAGCAAGTTAAAGATCTGTAAGGTGTATATTATTAATTTAAGGAAATAGTTTCAATTAGGAAATAATTTCAATTCATAAGTAATAAATCTCATTATTAATTTTAAGAAACGGTTTACGTTCGATATTTTTTATCGGAATGTAATGAGAACTTCTTTTGATATTTATAGAGAAATTGAAGTAGTTCATTCTATTGATATTCTAGTGATGAATATCAAAAATAAAATTTTTGTTTTTTCTTCGTAAAAAAGTTGTCAAAAGTCGTGCAAAATAATCTTCGTTTTCTGCAGTGCAAGCTTGTACCTACTCCAAAAATTGAAAGATATATTTGGTTGGTAGAAGCGCTGCGTTGGTATCACTGGGTGCTGACGTGCTGGGCCGACATTTCCTGGAAAGGCGTTCCCAGGCGCAAGCTGCAAGCAAATGTCCCGGGGAAGCTGCGCGTGGCGGACGTGTTTATCGATTGCTGTAGGACATCGATTATATCGAGTGAAAGTCGGCGAAAATCATTGGAGAGAAATCTCCAATGGTCGTACAAACTATCAGCGAGCGAGTTTTGTGTAAACGTAATTTAAGCAGAATGAAACGTTTTCGTCTAGCGTGGGAAGTTTAAAGATGGCGAAGTAAGTCTGAATGACTCCTGTATATTTTGCTTGTACATTTTTCTTTTTTTTCTTCATTCTATTCACATTTAATTTTTTTCGTTATTTCTTTCCAACCCTTTTGATTTGTTTTGCCGTTTTTACTCTTTTATTATACAGGGAAATTAAGATCAATGATGGGATGCCAGTTCAGTTAGTACATGTAATTTAAATGCTTACATACCTCAATGTCTTAAAACTTGTGTAATTCTGATTTTTTTTATTGTTAGAGTTGAAGTTTACGAAGAAAGCTAGTAACAAATATAGTAAATTATCATTCCATTGAATAAATTCCAAAATTCAAGTAATTATATTTCTCTCCGTAAATTTCTATGGACTCTTAAAAATATAGAGGTAAAAAATAATTTTGAAAATAAAAACTGAATGCAATTAAATTTTTATTGCAAAGAGTCAGTAGTGTGCGAATTTCTTTTCAAAGTGCAAATTACTTACTTTGTCATGAAAGATCTAGCTTTGCTCGTGTAGTTTTTCAATTAACGTTTAAATATGAATGACATTTCTTAAACATAATGCCTGAAATGTCTCGGTACACACTTATGTTTTTGTGATATACTGAGAAAAAAGTTGTATTTGACTGATTACACTAGTGTTTTCTATTCCAGTAATGACGATAAGCATTTAATACCCTGAATAACAGAAAGGAGGTGAAGTACGTTAAAGTAAACAAGTAGCGGTAAATGTTCTCCTTGCCTTTGATTAATTGGGAATTCTAGACCGCTAATGCCTCCATGTTGCAGGTACTTAAGTAACAGTATTTTTCTATTCATTGAAATACAAGGAAGTATAATTCAACCCATGCGAATAATATTTTATATTTGTCAGCAGAAGAGTTCCTCAAACAAATCACCTATGAGTGAATTTTGAGACTTAAGTCAGTTATTGGTACTGGACAGTAATCATGAAAGTTGAAAGTAAGTGCTAAGATTTCTTTGTCATAAATTTCCCCGGCAACACAATATACTTTACATTACCAAATTTTATGTTTTATTTTGCAGAAATTACTTTCCAAATGTTGGCTAAAAAGAACAGCAACAAGCGTACATCAAATAAGAAGCAATGTACCCTAATGCTTAGGGAGGAATTGTACCGGTAAGTTTGAACAACTTTTTATAACTCAGCATTCTGTGTATATTTCCTGTCACGTTCATTTACTGGATATATCTTCACTGTTATTTACTAACAATGTCGCAAATATTATTAAAACTACAATTTTACCACGATCTGATTTTCTTTGGCAGAAACGAACAGTAATTTCGATTTTCTCATAACAATAAAAGAATTATATAACCATACCGTTTATTAAATGTAATATGTTCCCAAATCTTTAAAGAATAGTGATAATGTGTGCTAGTGTTTACAATTTTTTTTAACGCAAAGTTAGTGTTAGTATCCTGAGAATACTTATTCCACCAGCCAAACCGATAGAAAATGTGTGAATGTAAGCAGAAGAAAATTCTGAATCTTACTGAACTTCTCCATCCGAATTGTTGTATTTAGGGAATAATTAGACTTTTGTTTGGTAATTCATTTTATTGGAAGTTAAAATGTTATAAATAATTCCCAGAAACTATAGAATCATTGGATTCTTCTGAATTGAGTTAAATAATATTTATAAGTAGGCACCCCATTGTCACCAGTCGGATGGAGCGCCCAGAGGCCGCAGCACCTTGTCCTGGCCCCCGCCTTAGTTGTGCCCCGAAAATGTGTACAAAATTTATTTCCGTCAATGCGAATTATAAACAGTTTTTAATATTGGGAATTTTTCCTCAACAAAACCTCTTCTAAACAATTAAATCCTAAAATAAGTGCAGTGTTTTGATAAAACGAGTAGTCTTTAAATCCTTTTTGCTTGAAATTGAAGTAATTTTCAAAAACAATTGCCCCTCAGGAGGGCTCAGGCAGCAAACTAGATATCTGCAAGGCGGTCCAGGGCTCAATTCCTTGTCCTATTGTCAATGTTAGAAAGAATGCGAGAAAAGTGAGGTGTTGCAACACCAAGAGTTCACTTAAATATGTGTTTTGTGGTCGGAATAGTGCAACTACCATCTTTGAAATGCTGCGTGCCACCATAAGATTCACAAGAACAGCAATGTCAAAAAGTCTGAATATTTTATTGAGGTATACATTTCTCAATATAGTTCTAGTCATGTTCCAGTCACAGATAATATCTCCAACTCGGGAATATCATAAAAATCATAATGAATTTACATCAGTAGGCACGTCTGCACCAAATTACCGAATACAGTAGTAGAATCATTAACAATGTTCAAATTTCACTTCTCCAATATTTTTATTCGTTCTGTTACTTCTGATAGAATTATTCTTAATAAAATATTTCAAATATTTAATTAGACTAGTAATTTTAACTCAACTTTTAACTTAGGGTTCATTATTAAAATTTTTCGTTTAAATTGTTTCTATTTTATCTACTACTAGCAACGCACTACAATGATGTTTATTTATACGTTACGAGTTTTAATTTTGCAAAGTTTTGCAATTACTCCATTCATCTCAGTCGATCAAACAATTTATGTTTGACTAGCAATGCTAACGTATGAATGGTCCCACATGTTGCCGGGAGGGGGGGACTCTCAGGTACCCTGATCAAATTTTCATTTTTTGATGTTTTTGATGATTCTAACGAATTATTAAACTGATATAACTATTAATATGTCCTAGTAAGACAAAGTCGTTATTTAAACGAAAAACGTTATTCAATTGTCTTCATATGAAAACAAATTTGATTTTATCACATAAATATTGAGGACAACTGTTTAATGTGAAAAAAAAATCGGCTGTTTTTTTCATAACATAGTCATGTTTTAAACCATATAATAATAAAACTTAAAGTACTACAAATATTTTTTAAATATTTTCTCAATATTTAGTTTTCGAGTGAATAGACTTGTTATAAAGCGTTACGTATATACCACTATTTCTCATGCGTTACATCAGACGCATATATTGGTTGATATATAATACTCGTATATAACTCGCGTAATGAACAATCTTAATGGTTATGAAAGTAGAACATACCGTATTAAGGATTGTGTGCGCTTGAAGTGGTATGAATTGAGTGATCTTGATCTTTCTGATCAACACTCATGATTTTAAAGGATTTTGCATTAGATTTTATAAATAACTGGGGATAGGGCATAGACAGGTGAAGCATTCATTTAATTCGAAGCTCTCTGTAACTTGTAGTGTGTTCATCTTTATTAATATTTTTAAATGGTACTTTTGGTTTGCAAAGAAGTAAGTTTTGGTTGCAAAGATGGTTTTGAATATGCAATCTATATTACGTGTATCAAAAGATTGTGTCCTATCTTGATATCTTTTAAGTACCGTGAATTAATGTGAATTTAATGTGAATGATTATTGTGGCATGCAGTGGAATGAACGTTTTTGCACAATCCACTAATTTTAAGTCTTCATATATTTTTTTCTGGTAGTCTCCGAATACAATTTTAAAATTTTCTGTTTGACATTCATTTCTGATTGATTTTAGTTGTGTATAATGCTAAACTGTTTTACTGAGCAGTGCAGTGTCTCGATATTTTGGGCTGTTACGATTAATCTGTAATTGTTTGGCACTGTCTGTAAATTAATCAAAAGTGATTCTTGAAAGTATCCCGTATAAGCTCTGTGAGGTTGAATACCAAAGCAAGTGGAATTCAGCCGCTGACTGGAAGAGAATTCTCGCGGCCTGCTGCTCTTATCGGTAGTTTTCCGTAGATTCTCCGATCAACACCAGAGGAATGCCCGAGCAGTACCTTCATGAATGGGTCACGAACCACGTGCGAACTTTCTTTCCTGTTCCTTCTCCTATCTTCACACACACACATACATTCACACATACACACACATACACACATACACACATACACACACATACACACACACATACACACATACACACACACATACACACACACATA